CCCCAACCTTCCCCCCCCCCCCCCGACTTCCCAGAACCAATACAGGGTATAGATCTTTAACAAAACATTCTAAAGTAAACTTTTTAAAAAATTAATATTATCTTTCATTTGAGCTTTAACTCCTCCTTGCTAGGCTAGCTCTAAACAAATTATATCATTCCTTGTTTCTTTAGTCATAAGCTATCTGAAATTTCTTGGTCCCATATTTATTTTGAGTATAGTCAATCCATCTTCTCCACTCCAGTTTATATCTCTCGTTTGAGTGGTCGTTGAGATATGCAGATATTTTAGCCATCTCAGTTAGATTTGTTACTTTCAATGTCCATTCTTGAATAGTAGGCAAGTCTTCCTTCTTCCAGTATTGAGCCATCAAATTCTAATTTTTTAGTTCAATATTTTAAACTCAAATCTGATTGAGAGGCTTGCATATTTTTTTCTCCTGAAACTATGGCAATGAAGGATATTAAAGTCTATTTATTTTATTCAGACACAAAAAGGGCTCCTAAGGTTACCAAAAAGTGTTAACTTTAAAATATAAACCTTAAAACATTACAATGCAGCAGAATTTAGAATAGGAGAATACCAGTCTTTTAACAACAAAGGAGAAATGTATTTATTTAAAATTATTCAGAGTGAACAAAAACAAACCCTGATCTCTGGAGGCACATTTATTTGATGTGGAATGTGGAAAAAAAAGTCATGGCATGAAAGTGTTCTGCAAAAAAAAAAAAAAACTTGGTATAAATTTGGCTGCATTCAGTGTAGTGGGAATGATCGCACTTCTTTGAAATATGTAGTGGTCATCAGTAATAAAAAAAAATTCCACAACTATAGGAAGCACTCCACAGTACACAATTTCCCCCTGCATATGGAGAGCAGCAAAATAAGGATGGATCACCCTGTCTTCTGTCAACACTCCTATTTATTTATTTGTTTGTTTGTTGTTTGTTTATTTATTTATTTATTACATTTTTATGCCACTCCTCTCCCCTGCAAGGTGCATCTGGGTAGCTAGAAGCATCTGAAGAATCAGTCACCTTCTAAATGATACATGGATAATAAAACAGTTTCTTAAATGAATATGCGATATAAAACTGAAAAATACGCTCATTGTCTGCCCAGGAGATAACTTGTGAAGACTACCTCTGTCTCTGAAGTTATTTCTCTTTAAATTCATGAAGAAATTCACAGTCTTTAATTACAGCTGTTAACAATTGCTAGGTGCCCCCTACATAGCCAAAGCTCAGGCTATCAGATGTCCCATTAAGCATGTTACCCATTCCAAATGTTTGTTGTGCAATCAACAGTTTTGTCTTAACTCTGTGGATTAGGTGTAAAGTTAATTTGTGCTAATGTACAAATTAAATGCAATGCTGCTGCTTTTCCATAGACACTTAATTCCCTCATTTCCTCCTCTGTATTTTAAAAGGTAACCATCATGAACTTTCTGAAACGAATTCCTATTGAGAAAATGATCTTGGTGCTACTGAAGAAGCAATTAGAAATTATCAATGCAATCTAATCTTAATGTTCAAGTTATTGAGAATAGCTGCTCAGAATAATCTAATATAGGTAGGGATTCATGGGGAAAAAAATGGGAGAGAGAAGGGGATTTTTCCCCTTTAATTTTCCCCTGCAGATTTATCATTTGGCAGGCAAACTCATCCGAGTTGGGGGTGGGAGAGGAAATGGGGGAGGGGGGGAGGCTGCTATAAAGTGGTATAATGTATTTTAAACAGTAACTCTATATGCAGAAAATGAAACTCCTAGTTCAGTGCTGATTCTCTCTTATTAGGGCTGGAGGCAAAAACCTCTCTAGAATCTCTTTGCTATTCATTCGAAATCCAAATACTTTTTTTTTCATAGTGCCAAACGAACGAACACAAAAGAATTTCATAAAGCAGGTCATAAGAAAAAGGAAATCAAATCTTAATCAAGGTGTTTATCCATGAAGCTCCTTTTTCAATTTTAATTAGTCTCCAATTGAAAGCTTAATTCTTTAGTTAACTGGTAGGTGCTGTATGGTTCACTGTTTCTGTACTCCGCTAAGCCTGAACTGATCTGATAAGGGACATTTAGGGAGGGAAATGGAGCACAGGAACTAAGGTTCACACAACTAATTTATTGCAAATTAAACAATAGTTTGGGGGTTTTCATATTTTGATCTACTCTCAATAATTAATTATGTAGTGAAATGCTAAATAAGCTGTGTCCTGATAGATAGAACTTCACTTCTTCCTTCATGCTGGTGGGTAAAATTAATTGGTTGGCATGGTTTACAATTTTGTTGTAATGTTATTTGGGAATAAATCTTGTGTAATATTGACTAGTACTTATGGCCTCCCAGTTTCTAGGCTGGTGTTTTAACCACTACACCAAACTCTCTCAGTGAAATAAATTGGTGGTTATTTTTCCCACCATATTTTTTTCCTATCTGGTAATGCCAGGTGAATTTACCAATCATGGGTTATCCCACCTTAAATCTATAAAGGCAAGAGCCGAGGTGGCGCAGTGGGTAGAGTACAGTACTGCAGGCCACTTCAGCTGACTGCTAGTTCAGCAGTTCAGCGGTTCAAATCTCACCGGCTCAGGGTTGACTCAGCCTTCCATCCTTCCGAGGTGGGTAAAATGAGGACCCAGACNAAAATGCTTTCCTAAAAATGCAGGTGCCTCTTTTGAAATAGTTGTTTTTGTCACATCCTGGCATAAGGAGGGAGAAAATAAATTACTTTATAACACCTCCATTTCACAAAAATGAGGACAAAACATTATAAAAATTTGAAAATAATAAAAAAATACAATTTATGCATTAAATGCAGTAATATTTTATTGAGGACCTGGAATGAAAACCCTTTGTTCTGTTACACGGCTCTTCACTTTGAATTGCTCACTATTTATATGCAGGTATACATTGGTGTTGCAAGGCAATGCTTTTGAGTCCTAGAAACATCACTCATTACTCTTAAGGCTCAGTTTGTTGAATAACAACAATAGTTTTCATAATCTTTCAGAGTCACAGTAGATACAGCATATGTTCCAGAGTTTGGTTCCTCCTCTTTGACTGGCCTACTCTGCCACTCTTCTATAAAGACTGACAGCCAAATTATTCATTTAAATTCTATCAAAATTTAGGCTTTGCCATTTAAAGTTGCATTGCAAAAAACCAAGTATCTTAGAGGAACTGGTGCATCCTATTTATCTCCTTGTCTTGGCATAAGGAATTTTCCAGGACACAGATGTGCATGTGCATTCCCACATCAGCTGATTGTTGAATAGTGAGTTCAGAGTATGCCCTGGTTTGCTTCCCTGATTTCTTTGTTATGGAGAATAGCAGAGTAAGAAGAACTAAGCTGTCTTTTGGGCATCTCCCCAAACATTACTAAATGTGTCAAGGGTCCCTAGAGGAACAATGAAATTTTGAATGACTTAAAGTAATGCTCAGATTTCATTTAAAGGACTAATTTTATCCCATAAAAGAAATTAGCAATGTAGCAGTATAGTATTACAGCTTAGAAAGTGCCAGTATTCCTGCAAGTGCTCAAATAGAGATGGTAACAAATATCCTGTGTTAAAATTTCAAGTCTGTTCCCAAAGGACCTGTCTAATTTGGTGTCATTAAGAAGGACTGTTGGCTTTAAATCCCTGGGAGTTTGGAGACAACATTGATTAAGCTTGCTTCTGATTTTATAACTCAGAAAAAGTAGGTCACTGGAAATGGGGAAGCAGAGAGCTCTGGAGTTCATTTCAGCTATAAACATTCTGGTCCAGTCATCTCTGTATTTTTAGATGGAATACAATTGACACAATCAGGTGCATCAAGTTCTGCAGCTTTGCTGATAAGCTTTATGTGGCTGCCTTGACTCTCTCCTAACTGATTCCCTCATCCCTGTTTCCCCTCTCCCCCCCCCCTTTTTTTTTAAAGGAAAATGAATGTATGAGAATTAAAATCTTAGGAGACTGCTACTACTGTGTGTCTGGCCTTCCAATATCACTACAAAATCATGCCAAGAATTGTGTGAAAATGGGACTGGATATGTGTGAAGCTATAAAGTGAGTAAATATTTTATATATATATATATTTAAAATATATAAAATACTCCTTTCTTTAAAAATTATGAAACAAAATTTAATAGGATAGGTTTACTCCATGTCTCTTTCCCAAATTCTAATTTTTTTTAATGAAAATTTTGGAAAAAAAAACTTTTACAAATATTTACTTCCCTCCTC